TATTACTATATATATATATATATATATGTATAAAAAGCGCCCACGACTTTCTGCTTTCTACATATTACGTTTTAGAAAATTACACGCTCGCTGTAGTATCGTGTGATATCGGCTTCCAAGTCCTTGGGACGGATTTATTTCGCAAGCGAATTGCCTCGGACTTGAGCTATCGAACATAAATTCCACGAGCTCTTTATTTGCGTATCAATTCCATTTTGTACGAATTGTGTATAAATAAAGAATAGCGCGGTCGTGTTTTTCCACTGTAGTAGTATTTAAATATTATAATTAAACGTTGCAACACACGTATAAATTACAATTACAACATTCATCAACCGTTTAACATTCAAATCAATTGCATGAAAATAATTTAATCGGTATATTTTAATAAATTTGAACACAGATAGAAATATATGTAGCGAATTTTCATATATAAATATTATTATATTTCGACTCGCGATATTTCACATTTTATTGGGTTGAAAAAAAATGCGCGCAAACACAACGTAAAGTATTCCTTGAAAAAGAAACTCGATTACTTATGTCACTTTAACTCGCTCCGCTTGCAATTGACAATTTGATAACTTTAACTCGACGCAAACAACGTGAAGATAACATCATTGTTTAAAAGCGACGTTTCGAAGATGGAGATTGTTAAAGTAAACTCCGGAGCGATTGCGTATCGCGGGAACTATAACGCGCCGTGATATATGAATGGAATTCGTAAACTCCGAATTCTCGCGCGAGCGTGCTCGCGGATTCGGAAGACTTCACGAACTCTAATGACTGCGCGTGGACGTATAGCGCGGGCGAGAATATTATACGTACAGATTTAATACGTGTGAATATACATTGGCCATTAAAGTACTCATAATTACAAATAACACCTATCTACGCGCATACCGTGTCGGTCGATATGTATCTCGGCCGAGCCCTGGTATTCCAACAAAATACGTTAAGTCGCATAAGTGACTCGGGATAGAGTGGTGTGGCAAAGGGGAAGGGGAGGAGAGAGAGAGAGAGAGAGAAAGAGAGAGAGAGAGGGGTTAGGTTCGCAAATGTTCTTGAAGAGGGAATTCTAACTAGCGTTTGAAGCGTATAACCCAGCACCGTGTGTTTCGTTACCTACTTAAGTAGACTATTATCGCAGTTGTACCGCAAACGCGCGCGGAGGGAAGGGGGGGCGGTTTTAGTCGCGAGCTACCGGTGTGATCCCCTTGCGATCTCCGAGGGAGATCTTGCGATTTATCGAACGTTAGGAAGCCGAGAACAAGTCGCGTCGCGCGGGCGATACGTCGTTCTCTCTCTCGCGATTACACTATGTTATTTTATTATTTTCCCACCTCGAAACTTTTTTTTTTCTTCTCGCGTTACTTTCCGTGGAGAACGAATGTCGAGACATTCGTTCCGATTAAACCATTAAAGCTTCGGAAATTTTTCGAGCAGAATCGCGTCGTTTAGATTCTCGCCGCGAAATATTTGTTGACGATGTTTCTCGCGATTTGATAGGAAACAAGTAAATCGCGAGAGTTGCCGATGAAGAAAAGTCGTCAAGATCGCTAATAAACTTTAATGGCTCAAGTTGTGCAGTTACGTATAATTTTCCGATGATGCGCCCGCCAGAATCTGCAGACCCACTCGTGCCGAGGTCGAGACTGGGCGAACCCGCGCGAATCACATTTCGCGTTACGAGTGACGTGTGAAGAGAGTGGCGGCCGAATTGCCCGAATTGCGGGATATTATAATGCCGAGCGATCCTGGATGCCGGAGAGACGGCGAAGCGATACCCGAAATTGGGACAATTCGGTTACTTGCGCGGTTGAGCATGAGCCCTCGAGCTGTCAGGCGCGAGGAAACGGAATCGGCAGTGGAACGGCCATGAGCCGCGGAGGGAAGTAGGACAGCGACACAATCGACGTAAGAAACGGAAGGAAGAAACGGCGGACTAGCCGTTGCAAATAAATGGATTTTACACCGACCGCTGCGGAACGTTATTTTGTCGCAGCTACTGTGTGCATTGCGCATCATTCTTGGCAAGATGTATTGATCATATAGGAAGTCTCGCTTGAGAGCAAAACAAATGCGACATGCACACGTAATGCGCGGGGCCACGTAGACATCCCAATCGAGAAAAAGCACCCGTGAGAAAAATACGAGCGATGTATAAATCATAATCCATCGCATCGCGGCTCGTGCAGTGGTTCGAAAGACGAGAGCGTGTGAAGTCGCGGAAAAGTTGCGAAGAAAATTCGACTGACCTTTCAATAAATCTTTTCCATCTGCGGCATCTTTAACTCTTCGAGCAATATTTTTATACTCAATCGGTATTGAAAAATTTATATTGGAATTTCTCTTTCAGTTCTCAATCTCGATTCATCGGAATTTTCATTTTTCAGCTCAATTATTTTTAGCTGTCAAAAATGTTACGTAAAAGATCTTTTTTATCGCCGTGACAAGTTGATCGAATTAAAATGAATTACGTTAGATTTTTAGATTATCGGTTCGATTAAAATGGCAGCAGAAAAATACTGCTGAAAGAATTAAAAAATAACGACATCAATCTTTTGTGAGGTACAAGTAATACAGTGTTGTCGTAAATGCATTTCTAATAATTTCACTGAGACTTTCAGCGAGATGAAGGAATCGTCGTCTCCGTGTGTTGAGGTAAAAGCCGAGAATCTGTGATCCGCTTTGGGATCCGCTTAGATCTGCATTTCCGGCTCGGAATTGTTGTCGTTAAACCAGTCCGAGGCTCTCTGACTCTCCGTCACGCGCATGCTGAGCTCCCTCTCGGTGTACCGGCTCGACCGCGTGATGGACGGACCTCGTCTGCGCTCGTCGAAGGAGGCGAGCACTTGCAATCTGTCGCCCCTCCTGATCGCCCTCGGCGTCGTCTCCACCGAGCTCACGTCCTCCGCGTGCTCGGTCGTCCACTGCGGCAGATCTAAGATGCCGGACGGCACGCCCCAGTGCTCGGTGAACTCCGAGCCCGATCTGGCCAGACTGGGCTGGCTGAGCGATCGCACGAGAGAATCCGCGCCCTCGAAGGAGCTCAGGCTCGTCAGATCGTCCCGGTCCATCCTGGCGAAATCGCGGACGGTGATCTCCGACATGGATCGCAGATCGGCCTCGCTGCCGGGCCCGGCGCCTCGCGAACGAACGGAACCGCCGCCCAGTCGGCGCGGACGGCTCTGCCCGCCGCCGCCGCCGCCGCTCATAGTCGTGGCGGATTGCGACGTTTGCAGATGATGGCTCTGGGTGCCGAGGGTGCGCGCCGAGCTGCCGCCGTCGCTCTCGTACTCGTACAGGGTGGGCAGGGAGGACCGTCTGGACCTGGTGTCCCACTCCGACGACTTGGAGCGCTTGTACCTCTGGCCGTGATTCTTGCCGTGGCCGGAGGACGAGGCGGCGTGCGTCGACGGCGGGCTCAGGATTCGGATGATGACGTCCCACTTGGCCGGCGGGAACAGGTTCACGTATCTCGCGTCCTTGCGTATCAGCTCGTAGTCCTCCTTCACGACCGCCTCGGTCAGCAGAGTGCGCAGCGTGCTCTCCGTCGTGATGATCTCGCGCCACTTGACGCGCTCCTCGCTCGTCAGCTCGGCGGCGTAGCGCGGCTCCAGGACGCGCGCCAGTCTGCTGTACCAGTCGGCGTCGGCGTCGTCGAGGGATCGGCGGGAGGCCGGCATCGGCGGTCTCGGCATTTCAGCGCGCGCCGTGTAAGTCGGCTCGATGTTCACGTCCGGCTCGTCGTCCGCGGCGGTCAGATTGCTCGCCGGCTCGTTCGTGATCGTCAGGTTGGAGGCCGAGCTGACGTCGGAGAAGTTCTCCCATTCGGGCGGCGGCGGCGGCAGGTCCTCCGTCGGATAGTTTCTGATGGTGACGTCCCACTTGAGATCCGGCGGCCGCGTGCGGTACTCGGTGACCTGGCGGCAATGGCGCTCCACGTCCTCGATCGTCTTCTTCTCGGTGACGGTGCGCAGGAACACGTCGTCCACCTCGTGCGTCGTGATCTCCGGGCGGCGCGGCGCGACCACCTGCGGCTCGACCAGCGGCTCGGTCATCTCCTCGCGCAGCAGACGGTGCTCGCGATGCTGCACGGCGGTGTGCGTCGTCGTGGCGGACGCGGTGGGCGCGATCGGCGGCGGCGGCGGCGGAGTCGGCGCCAGAATGCTCGCCACGCGATACTTGGCGTGCGAGGCGTCCGTCACTTCCGTCAGCGAGCGCGTCTCGGTGAGCTCGGTGTCGAGAGAGGCGAGGGATCTCGGCCGGCGGATTTCGCGATGCTGCAGCGGCTCGCCCGTCGGCGACGGCAGCTTCTCCTGGATCACGGTGGTCTCCCTCTCCGCCTGCTTGCGCAGGATTCTCGAGTAGACCGGCGGCGTCTGTTGCCGCGAGATGGTGGAGACGGAGGACGCGCCTCCCGGCGGTCCGTGCAGCTCGGGCACGTAGGAGAAGGTTGTCATTCGGTAAGGCGAGCTTCCCAGCGAGCGGCTGGTCTCCTCGCGCTCCAGAATCGTCGTCAGGTTTCTCTCGAGAGCGATGCTCGCCACGTCGGACTCGGACGGCAGCGGGCTGGGCGCCGGCGGCGGTGCCCTCTTCACTCGCATCTGCACGTCGAACTTGGGCTCGATCGGAACGGCCACCGGGTGACGCGGCACCATGATTCTCGAAGCGTTTGCGGCCGTCATCGAGGACGTTTCCACCTCGGCGGCGACCGTCTCGGAATAAAGAGAGCTCGACGTGCGCATTTCCATCTGGCGCTGATGTTGGACCTCGTGGTGCTCCACGAACGCCTTGTTGTCGTAGGATCCAGCGGAGGACACGGGCAGCGAGCGCTCTTCGTCCACCTGTAGAAAATTCAAAATCGAACCATGTGATCGGTCGCGCGACTATTCTTCATTTCGCGTTTTTTTTTTTCGATCGGAAAAAATGTTTCGACAACATTTCTTCAATTCTCCGCGCTATTAAAGTTAATTTTCAGCACCGCGTTACTTAAAACGATATTAATATTTATTAAGTTACATTACTGAGAAAATTTTATTAATTTGTAGACTAAATGAAAATTTAGGGAAAAAATACGGCAGCAGCTTTAACATAGCAGAAATCAGCGGTACGAGCAGCGATGCTCTCGTTTCATATTTTTTTCAACAAGCTCCGCGCAATCATCCGTCTTCTCAGACAATTATCGGGACTCACCTCGGAGTGGCTCTCGCTCGGATAATCGCTCGGCAGCGTGTCCGAATGATCGATCACCAGATTCGCCTCGCTGCCGGAAGTAGACGCGGCGGTCGCGTGAAGAAGAGCGTGTGCGCGCGGTATCTTCAGGCCCTCGAACATGGTGATGTGGCTGAGGGATGAACCGGAGAGCTTCGTTATCTCGGAACCGGTGCCGCTCTCGAACGGATGCCGATGGACCACGCGGACGTTTCGGCGTTTCAGGCACATGTAGGAGCAGCCGAGGCCCAGCAGAAGCAGCGACAGGAACAGGATGGCGCAGATAATCAGCAGGATCTGCAGGCCCTTCAGCGGTGGCTCGGTCACCGGCGCGGGCGCCAACGTGGCCGATCTGCGAGAGAGAGAGAGAGAGAGAGCGGAAGTGAAATTAGGCCGGAAGATGTATAGCGCGGGGCGGGCTGAACGATGCAAATGCAGCGACGGCGGAGCGCGCTACAGTTAGCGGATGTGATATCTCGGAGTGCAACTCTCCGCGAGGGTAACTGGACTGAACGAGAAACAAAGGCGCGTTCTGAATACGGAACGTTATTTCTTATTCGCGATTCGTGCGGCACGATATTGCGCAGCGGGATGGCAAACATTAAATGCGAATATTAAATCGCGTTCCTCGCGGATGCTTGACAGTTTAAATATTTAATGGGGATGCGCGCGTTTCTTTTTTTTTTTTTTTCGTTTTACTTACACGGGTATTAAAGTTTGATTTTCTGACGACGATATCGATCGTGTAATAAATTTTAAAAATTCCGCACAAACGAGCGAACGATTTACATATGATACAATGATCGTTTAACAAATTAGAAGTTGCACTGTTTAGTGAGAAAATAATCCGACAAATTTCACCGTTAATTTTCGCAAAGAACTCTATTTGGCAATAATCCAAGTCTGATAAGTCTTTGCGGCGAAGACTTCAACAAAAGATTCTTACATTCTCTCTGGCGTCTTAGGAGGTGCCGGCGCCACGGGTGGAGGATATCTGCAGACTATAGTGATAACCTCATCTCCGTCCATTTCTAATCCAGGATGAAAGCGGACAACCACATTATTGGTGAATACACGCAGGGGTTCCTGCTTTGTGCCGCATCCTGAAATACAGATTATTTTCACGCGATAAGAAGTTAAATCCATTGTGTTGCGATGAGAATGCTTTCTAAACGTAGCAGTTAATAGTTATATAATTGCATACTTGCGACAAATAAATTCGTAAAAACAATTGCCAAAGAGACATCCTTTCGTAAAATTATTTAATCCCGTATCAGTCACAAATGATGCTTAGTAAAACAATAATTTATTCCCAAAAATGATAGGATTTTACATTTCTGTGAAATAAATGCTATTATCGTCGCGAGAATGCGAATGTGAAACTTGATAAAAAGACGCACCCTTGAGAGGTAGTTCCAGTTTAGCGGTGGTCGCGCCTCGTCCTTTGAATATGCAGGCGCTGTTGCGATCGAAATCGGCGTAGGCCACTCCGTAAAACGGCTCCTCGAACTTCAGCTCGACCTCCATGCTACCCATGCCGCAGTTTAGATAAGCTCTCGTTCGATTCAAAAATATCACCGGCGAGATGTCGTCCAGCTTGGTGACTTTGCCGTCGAGGACCGTGCTCGGCGGCAGTCCTGGCTGATACTCGATGCTGTTGCCTTGCGACGCATAGTTGCTCTGGGACAACGCAATCGGAATTGCTGCCCAGAGCAGGACAATCAATTTCGGCAGCATCTATAACGAAAAAAAAAGAAAACTTATGAAAAGCTGTTGCGCTTATGCGTGAAAATATGTAGAATATTTGTGCAAATAGTAGTAATTGTTTTTTAATAGATTTTTGATGACTCAGATGAGTTGTCATAATTTCATAATAACTCTCGTAACCATGAATTTTATTATCGAAAAGTGTCACGATACTTATTTCGCATTTCATATTTATTTCAATTAGCCTAATTCGTATAATAATGCACTTTAATGACGAATGCGGTATTGCATGTGTAATATGTGCGCTACTATAATAATCGGAATCATTGTTTCTCCTCAGGTATCGTCTAAGATCCACAAGGAAGCAGCTCGACTGTCCACATTCCCACGAGCGACTTCTTTAATGTAAGTTTTCCTTTGTATATTTCAGCTACGTCATTGTTTTGTATACGCATCGCTCAATTCACATGCTGCGTGGCGCGATTTGCCCATCGTAATGCGTCATCACATTCTATACAAGGTGTACCAGAAGTCGCGCACTTTCTCTGAGTCGCACATATGAGAAACAAAAAAAAAATGACCGATTGTTTGCTATTATATATAAATCAATATTTCTTTGAATTATAGGCATTGGAACTTGAAATAATTTATCGGAGAAGCACTTTGCACTTAATTTATACACTTTACTTTTTTGTAATTTTAATTGAAAGTCGTGAAGAATTGCGATGGCATCGAATTAAATTTTTATCGATTAAGATTAATTTAAAATTCATAGAGCTATAGCTAAATTAATGAAAAACTTTAATGCAAACTTTCATCAAAGAATTTATGGCTGAGAAAAAGGATTGTCAGTACACCCTGTATAAATAATACCTTGGGAGAGACGGCCCTTCTTGAGTCCTCTTACTCAACTGGAGCAGAGAACGCCGTTATCCGTCGTGATATTTCCTTTCGAGACATAAAACGGATAAACGTCGATTGTGACCTTCTACGTGCCGACGTGATCTCAATCGCATAAAAATTCCACTGTTCATGATAAAGCTAGACATTCCGCGAGCTACGAGCGAATTACTCGCCGAGCGTACTAACTATCATCATTTTCTTTCGTATAAAACGCGAGACGTCGTCGTTTATGAATTATGAAAATGAAGATGACATATCGCAAGTTTAATGATACACCGAACGATTATAACCGGGCGAGTCCGCGGCCTCGAGAGCCCACTTCAAGATACTGTTACGCTTACCGCCGGTAATTGCACTAAGCAAACGTACAAATTATAGGCATTACTAGCCGCGTGTAAAAATACGCGTTGCGTTACCGTGGCATTTCGTTCGTGCATGTTAATGCGAATCTACATGGCGCGCAGACACACAGCGCGGCGCGATGGCGCTCCGTTGTCGTAAACGCCAGACGATGATATTCCCGGTGATAATGCATTCGCGCGAAAACGCGTGAATCACTTGCCCCGCCGTCGTCGTCGTCGTTGCCGGGAGAATTCGCGATTCCGCCGCGCACCAGGCATTACCGTTCCCTGAAAACTGGACGCGTAGCAAATTGCACGCCGTTCGTTGCTCGTTGCTGTTTAGTAGCGCGTGAGAAATGCGCGAATAGTTCTCGTCGCATCGCTCTGCACAATAAGACACTGACAATTGTTAGCGATATTAAGTGAAGCGCTGGAAAATAAGTGTAACAATATTTATTTCTTCTCAAGACTTTGTTCAGTTGGAGAGTATTTTTCTATTGTCCGAAAGGAACATTAGAGGGGTGGTCGCACAGTTTTGACATCAAACGCAAAAATAAAAGGCTGCAAATGTGTACAAGTAGAAAACAACGCGCAGAAGTGAAAGGCGTATTTAAAAGAACGTTATCGCGCGCTGTAAATATGCATACGACAGCTCGAATATTAGTTAGCGGCTATCAATCGTTAAAGGTAAAAATAGATTCGGATAGCAATTTATTTCAATACTCAGCCTTGCTCCAAAAAAAAAAAAACTACTGTAGACCTAACTTGCACACGATGAGTGCATAATTCAAGAGTAATCGACCAGAGTGACGGATTGGATGGGCCATTTATTAACGCCAAATATCGAGCGTCGGAGATAGAAATAGTTATATTAACTGCACGAGCTGCGCTATATTTACATCGCGTCGGGAGCGATTAGCTTCGAGACACATCTTGTGAGTGTTATAATAAATTACGCAAGAGGATAACAAAACGTAGCTTTATTATTAGATTTATTGCTCTTTTATTTTGATGGGTCGAGCAATCAATTGATCAGCGAACTTAGCAATTTGATATAAAAAAATATTACGCAATTAATAAAGAATTTTAATGTTAAAAAGACCTCTATAAAGGATATTTTTAACTTTAAAGTTAAAAATATCCTTTATAAATAGAATAATGTTGAATGCTTATTTTTTTACACAAATATTATTTATATTATCAACATTTTCGACAAAAATTATTTTCCATTCAATTTCTTTGGAACAAAGTTAATTCTATATTTATCATAACTCATTATTATTAAGAGACAAAACGTGCAATACATTTTATAAACGATGAATGATCAGAAATTATTCCACAAAGTCACAAATAGCAGAGGTTGGATAAAAAGCACAATTTGTTACATTTATCAAAGATTTTACAGCTTCCTTATCGGGAGTGAAGCTGCATTTTGCGAGCGCAAAAAGTAACGCGCGAGAAATCACGGAAAAGTCTCATGGCAATTGTAGCGTTTTCCGCTTCCTGCGTTTCCTTTCTCCGAAGGTGCTGCAGCGGATCGCGCGGTTATTTAATTATTTAATTGACGCGCCGTAGAAAAAGAACAGTTAATAGGAAACAAAGCACGATTTAATTGGCGATATTCCACAGTGATATCATCCAGCCGTATCAGCTTGCAGTCGCATTAACATAACGCATACGAGGAGTTAAATCGAAATAAAAATTCTCTCAACGCGGCAGCGCAGGCGCTGAACGCTAAGTCATATTACAATCCCTTCGGTAATATTACACTTCTCAGCCTCCCGCGGCTGCTGAGAAACGAGCTGCTCGGTGCGGTATTCTAAGACGCCTATTACGCAAATAATTTTACGACTCTCTTTAATTATTCTCGTCCTCCGAGCGAGCGTCTGTCTGCGGCGTCATCTCGAAATTAAAAATAACAATCCCATTACTAAAGTTTCGATAATGTTATTAATTCTGCAGCGTGCGATGTAAGTAGAGGGTGAAACACAAAGTAGGAATGTGCAAATTCTCTATGCTTTCAAGGATAAACTGATTGTGAGACGCGCAGAACACTTGCTGTACACTGTTTTCCATAATGCTCTTCTCAAAACTCAAAACATATTAGTTTCTTGAACAACGGGGCTCTATAAATTTTCAAATGGGTGAAATATAGAATAATAAGAATTGAATGTGACACTTAGTGTATTAATTTTGCACGTCAGTGCGTGCGATATTGATTATTAACGCATCAAGATTCGTACTCGGTTTTTACTAGTCTAGATATAAATTACTAGGAAACTTGTATCCTTATTTCGCGATTCAGTCTGATCGTTGATTATTGCATAAGAGTTATACACTCTTATAAAAGTGGGAATTATTTGTATATTACAAGAGATAAATGTTTGAAAAGAGATATTCTCGCGTGACTGCCGATCGTTATATCTTTCTCGAATAAAAAATAATTAGCAAAAAAATAGACCGCGCGGACGAGTCTTGTCTTGAGCGCATCTCGGAATCTTCCTGCACGGATCGCTGAGGCTACCCTAACGGTACACAGTTCCCCCGATAGAACTTATTTTCGTAGAAAAGTTGAGTCATGCCCTTTCCGCAACGAGCGATTTGCTTGCGAGCGTTCGCGTTCGCGACGCGCGAGATTTTATTCCGACTCTATCGTGCCCAGCCATCAATCTCAACCTCTCCCTTCGCGTCATTGCGAGATGCTGAGATACCTTAGCCGTGGCCATTATCAGCGCAACGGCGGAGCCATTAAAAAAGATGCGATTGATATCCGGCCTTCCGCTGGCGCAATCTTCGGCTTCCTCGTGCAGTCGACTCGATCGTATCCGGCAAAAAGAGCCGGCAAAAAGTTTCCTTAGCAGCGTTATCCCTCAACGCCCTCACGATATGCGAGCTTGTCGATTTCGCAGAAGTGATTCCATTAGTTTGCTTACTGTGGCGCTACGCGCTAATGCGTTATGCAATTTCAAGCGGAACTCTTTTTCAAGGCGCAAACCACGTTGAATTTATTTCTCAGCGCGGAATTACCTTCGTATAATTCTTCCGGACACGTTCGCGGCTGAATTAACCTGATTTCTTTAACGCGTGGAAGATGAATATGTCCGGCTGGATTCATCGTGCCGCGCTCCACGCGTGCCTCGCATCGTTATGCCGCTCCGTGTCGTAGCCGGGGAAAACGCGCGAGAAATCGAGGGGAACGCGCGGCCGTTCTTCATCTTTTCCTCCTTTGAGTCCCTCTCTCGCGCGTCTAACGATGACTGCGGCAGGCAGGCCGCGCGATGCAGAATTGCAAACGAAGGAGAGTCCTCGGCACGCTTCGATGCACTCGCGCTGGACCGGCTGCACCGTTAGACTTACGCCGCGGTAATACGCGTTCTCGGGACGGTAACAAAATACCCGGTTATACTGACCGCTGCGCTGTCGTTGTTTATCCCGAAATGCGCGAATTCTTCGCGAAAGAGACGGCAAACATCATCTCGGAACTGGTGTCTCACGATTGTAATGATAGTTATTTATACTAATTGCTTAGCTCAATTCCTTACATTTATTTACATTGTATTATAATATTTAACGCACACGAAACGTCAGAAATGATGGAAGTGTGTATAAATGATCGTTAAAACTGTCTATTAACAGTGAAAACTTGCTGCGGAATAATTCGAGTTTGCATCAAATGAAAGGCATTCTTCGTTCCGCTTTTACCAGAGAGTTTTCCTTTCGACAGAATTTACACTTGAGATTATAAATATTGCTGTTAGAGGCGAAATTATTAAGAACAATAAAAACTATTGAAAGTGATTTTAATTGCTCCAGTTGTTGAAAAGCGTTCTATTTCGAAAATAAAACTTTGCGAGTTGCGGACGTAGCGAGTTACATTTGATGAAGATGTTGGATAATCGTGAATACGAGACCGGACGAAAGTGGACGAGTCGCCAAGTTATGTAATAAGTATTGGTTCGACATACCTTCGACGTTTCAGCCGCTTATTGATCGCAGATCCCGTCCCAGTCCTCGTCCCTCGTATCCTCAGGATTATCGCATGGCGCGCTGTCCTGAAATACCAAAGTAACACGACGTGGATTATTTAGTGAAAGTTATCCCGGCGGAGCGTGAAATATGCGGACGTCGTGATGGGACGCGTAAAAAGGCGCGATTGACGGCCGATAATACACGGTGGCTACAAATTCGCGACACGCTTCCACACCGCCGGCACAAGCGCGCGAATCTGTGGTCATCCTTGTACAGTGACTGCGCAACAGGAAAGAAAACACTGAGAGAGAATCTGACGCTTTGTTTCAATGCAAAGAGGCTCTCGGTCTGCTTTTTTGCAACCTCGCCGGTAATTTAGCTTACATCGTAAGCTGACGGACGATGCACTGACACGAACCACAAATCACAAGTTTTTATCAACGAGGGCCGGCCGGCCAGAGATTGTTGAACCGAATCGCGTTGCGTGTTTCAGCTTCCTTATTCCGAGTAATAGATTTTTTTCTTCTTCATTCAAACGTGTTATTAAGAAGTGCACAGTTAACACCTGGGCGTTATTGCGTTTCTGCGTTTCTAACGTGCGTTCTAGCGTTCCTCGCGGCCTCCGAGAGTTTCATTAGGCTGCACTCTGTAATTGCATTCGAGAGTGCACTCTGCGATACCTAAATTGTAAAAGGAAGATGATGAGGGGATAGATGAAGTGCGAGATTAGAAAGATACCGAAAGATTTATGGAGAGACTGCTCTCAGCCTTTATCAGATGAAATTTTACTCTTATTCGCTGTCTTCGGGGCGCGAAGAGTCGGCTGCTTTAAAAATCCCGCAGTCGACAAACAAAAAAACAAAAAAAAATTAAGAAGTCTCGGAGTTACAATGTCAACCGAATTTAATACCGCTTTTTACGCTGCCTGGCATACTTCTCTCTCCGGCGAGGATGTACACTTGATGTAATCGATTCCATGACACAGTACGATGATGCGCGGCCAACCTTGGCCGCTTCCTGTCACACAAACGCACACATCGACAATACACATCCATGCGCACGTGCGTCTGTTGACATAGCTCCTCGATCAATTTTCTTGGAGTCGGAACGCATCGCTCGCTCGCAAACATTCTTTCGGGCGACGGCACGTGATTGTCATGCCGATGTATGTGGCTATGTGGTTTGAATATGTCGCTTACATGTGCACCGCCCGTGTAAGCTGCACGTATTTTGCGACGTAATGAGGATCATCAGCGAGAGAATTCACGAAGGCTTTCGATGATGGTCAGGTCGAAAGATGTCCCACGCGATAATGCCGCCAACGCGGCCCTGCGCCGCGTCGCCTTGGCGGAATTTATGAGCGAACGGTGTACGCAGGGTGCCTCAGCAACC